GGGCCTGGACCCTTCTTCTGAAGAAGGGTCCAGGCCTGAAACATCAGCCTTCCTGCTCCTCTGATGCTGTTTGGCCTGCTGTGTTCATCCAGCTGTACACCTTGTTATCTCAGATTCTCCAGCATCTGCAGTTCCTACTATCAAGGAAATGGGACCCTCTTGGAGCTACTGTGAGCTGCAGATTTGCCCAAACGTTCAACATCATGTATTTCATTTATAAGAGGCTCACTGGGGAGGTAGGGGGAATAGTGGTAATGTCATTGGACTAGTAATCCAGGTTAAAGTTCTTGGGATAAAGCGAATTCCATCATGGCAAATGGTGAAATTTTAATTCAACAAAAATCTGGAAGGGAAAAAAAACTGTCCAAATGGTGATCATGTTACCATTATTGATTGTCATTCAAAGAAGAATCTGGTTTATTAGTATCCTTTAGTGAGAGAAATCTGCCACCCTTAGCCAGCCTAGCCTATATACAACTCCAAACCTGTGGTGATGGAATTAACTCTGAATTGCTTTCTGACCACTAAATAATGGCCTAGCCAGCTATACACACATTCCATGAATGAAGGATAAAAAAGAAAGAATAGCCAGTGTGTCTTCACAGAGTTGCTACGTAGCCAACACTTCTGCATGATGCTCTTGTAATCTATTTAGATGTAGTTATGTATTTGTGCACTCCTGGACTACAATATGCTTACTTCTGTTTGTAGTAAGATTAGGTTTGCACTCATGTAAGTGACAACAGGTTTTATTAAACATAACAGTACAGTAGAGTGTACAGGAAAGAACCTTTCTTATAGACTCTACATATTCACTTTATCAACAAGAATCTGTCATTATTCTGATATCATTACACAGACGCTTACATACAAGCTCAGTAGCTATTATTAAAGATGGCTTTTAATCCTTTTAGATTAACCCCTTACTCCACATCTCCCTCCAAGTTCATCTGCTGTATTCTGTTTAACCATCAACATTTAACTTTACTGCCACTTCCTGTCTCCTACAATGAAAAAGTCTCTTCTAGTTAAGGTATCAATCTCCAACAATATCACAACCTCTTTTTGAAGATAGGTGGGACTGATGCACCATACAGTTCACCTTGGGAGGTAAGAACCTAAGATGATAGGGGTTCCAGCCTCTGGTGATCAAAATGTAAAGAAACTGGTACTATATCCCTACTCTCATCACCATTGTCAGGAGTGGATGACAATATCTCCAAATTCATAGTAAGAATCGTTAATTCCTTAGGTAGGAGGAGGACAGCCATTTACACTACTACTGAATGCTGTTCCTGTATGTCAAAGGCTTCAGCAATGCCAGAAAATGTAGAGTCTCATTAACATGAATAGTGGGAGAGCTTTCAAAATTTGATCTTCACACAATCCTTGATCTGATCTGATGGAAGTGATCCTTCTAGAATTCTTTCACTGGCAGTGGGATCCTGGGATCCTGCAATACTCTGATGTGTTGTCCTGATGAAAGGTTGGACAATAGCAGAATGTTCAAAATCTATTGCTTACCTACAATTCTTAATCTCATCCAGGAGTTTGGATTGGCTCAGTATTGAAGGATTCACATTTTTGTTGAATTTTATTCTTTAAAATATCATAACGACTCTGTAGTTAATCTCTTCTATTAATGATGGTTTACTTTGCCAGAATAGTCTTCTGAAAACAAACTAAAATCTCTTTTTATCTCAAGCATTTCTTTCATAAATGGAAGTCCATCTCTTACTGATTGTAGCATAACAATCTTGCCAGATAATAATCTCTGAGCTTGAAATATGTCAGTTAAAAAAAGTCTTTTTTCCACCACCACAGCACCTCTTTGTTTGCTGTAGAGCAACAGTTGTCTCTGCCCATTTTTTTTTCCATTCTGTGTTCTTACTTTTCTTTAATTACTTTTCCATGGACCAGTAATAGATCATCTTGTTCGTCAGCAGTTATGTTCATTCATATGCAGTTACCTTACTGCTCATCTGAGCTCCTGATAATAGCTCACTCATATAGGAGTGAGAAACTTGGACGTTTTCTCTTTTATTACCTTATAAAGCAACTGCTACACATATTTGATTTCTCTGAGAAACATCATTTTCAATACACTGTTGATTTCTACTAATAGAAAGGAGGACCTATTGACACTGCCTGAAGCTTCAAATATCAGAAATCTATGTCAAGTGCTGAGATTTGTCACTCATGTTTGAAGATCCCTTCCTAACTTTGTAATGTGTTACTTCTCAGACATTGTAGTCACCTTGTTGCCTCTGGAGAATCTGCCATTTTGCTGGTGTTTGTTTGTGGTTAAACTACCATAAGCTCTTCTTCATTTGCTGTCCCGTTTAGCATCAGGGCATCTACTGTTTGTGTTACAACCAGGCAATAAACAGGCACAATCAGGTTGTTTGCCTTCAGTTGAGTTTCCTGAAATATTGCCAAGGTCCTGTTC